GGAAGAGTGGACTGAGTGTCCCAGAGGGAATGGTCCCTGTGAAAGGCAGACAAGGGAGGGGAGGGGAATATGTGTCTGGTGGTGGCATCTCGCTGGAGGTGGGGGAAATGGTGCCTGATGATCTTCTAGATGTGGATACTGGTGGGATGGCAAGTAAGGACAAGGGGAACCCTATTGTTGTTGCGGGAGGAAAGAGAGGAGGTGAGGGCGGATGTTCAGGAGGTGGGTTGGACCCAGTTGAGGGTCCTGTTAACAACGGTGCTGGGGAATCCTCAGTTGAGGAAGAGGGTGGGCATTTCGGAGGCTGTCTTGTTGAAGTTGGCCTCATCAGAACAAATGCGACAGAGACGGAGGAACTGAGAGAATGGAATGGAGTCTTTACAGGACGCAGGGTATGAGGATGTATAGTCCTGGTAGCTGTGGGATTCGGTGAGTTTATAATGGATATTAGTGGCCAGTTTATCCCCAGAAATGGAAACAGAGATGTTGAAGAAGGGAAGGGAGGTTGTCAGAGATAGACCAAGTGAAAGCAAGGGTGGGATGGAAATTGGAAGCAAAATCAATGAACTTTTTCAATTCTGGAGGAGAGAGGGAAGCAGCACTGATGATATCATCACATCTTGGAGAAAGAGTTGTGGGTGGGGCCCGGAATAAGACTGGAACAAGGAATGTTCCACATACCCCATGAACAGACAGGCATAACTGGGGCCCATGGCCACCCCTCTGGCCTGAAGAAAATGAGAAGAGTTAAAAGAGAAGTTGTTGAGGGTGAGGATGAGCTTGGCCAAGCGGAGGAGGGTGGTGGTGGGTGGGGACAGTTCAGGCCTTTGTTCCAGGAAGAAGCAGAGAGCCCTGAGACCATCCTGGTGGGGAGTGGATGTGTAAAGGGATTGCACGCCCATGATATAGAGGAGGTGGCTGGAGCCTGCAAACTGGAAATTCTGAAACTGGCTCAAACATGAGAAGAATTGTGGATATAAGTGGGCAGGGACTAGAGACTGAGGCAGGGTAGGAAGAGATGAGTTCTGCGGGGCAGGAGCAGGCTGAAACAATGGGTCTACCTGGACAGTCCCGTTTGTGGATTTTTGGAAGGAGGTAGATGTGAGCTGTGTGGGGCTGGGGGTTTATCAGCTTGGAGGTAGTGAGAGTGGAGATCACCAGATGAAGTGAGGTCAGTGACCGTAATTGATACAATGGCCTGATGTTCCATGGCGGGATCATAGTCCGGGGAAGATAGGAGAAGGTATGTAGGAACTGGCGCTCAGTCTCTGCAATGTAGAGGTCAGTATGCCAGACTACCACAGCACCACCCTTATCGGCTGGCTTAATAACAAAGTCAGGGTTGGATCTAAGTGCATGGAGTGCAGTCAGTTCAGAGGGAGATAGGTTGGATTGGGTGAGGGGGGTGGGGGGGCAGAGAAATTGAGGTGACCAATATCACATCGACAATTCTCAATTAACAGATGGAGTGCAGGTAAAAGGCCACAGGGAGGGGTCCAGGTGGAGGGAGAGTGTTGGAGCTGGGTGAAGGGGTCTGTGGGATGAGGAGAGGACTCTTGTTCAAGAAATGGGCACGGAGGCGAAGATGGTGCAAGAAGAGTTTGATGTCATGTCATGCTCAAAATTTATTAAGGGTGGGAACGCAGCGGGATAAAACTGAGACCTTTGCTGAGTACAGTACATTCAGCATTGGAGAGTGGGGAGTTGGGAGGGATGGTGAATACCCAACAGGCGGTGGGGTTGGGTTGGGGGAGGGGATGGAGTCAGAGGGAAGGGGAGGGGAGGAAGGTTCCAGAGGACGAGGGCTATCTTTGAGTTGTTGCATCTTGTGGGCCTTGATGCTTGAAAGGAAAAGAAGAGGTTTCTGGTTAGCATGGCAGACCTGCTTTCTTTTTTCCAGGACCTGTTGTTGTTTTCTCAAATATAACAAGTCTGTTTTGGAGGCTGAGGGGTGACCTTATAGAGTTTATAGAGTGGGACTCTGGCAGAGGCATGGCGAGGGCTGGATAGCCCAGAGTGGGACTCTGGTGGAGGCATGGCGAGGGCTGGAAAGCCCAGAGTGGGACTCGGGTGGAGGCATGGCGAGGGCTGGAAAGCCCATTGTGGGATTCTGGCAGTGGAAAGGAAAGTTGGATTCTCTTAAGGTATCTTTTTTTTCTTATCTTATTCAAAGTTAATGTGAATAGTGCCTGTATGTACAGTGAAGTTACACACTTTTCACTGTATTTTTACATTGAATACATGTGACAATAAATGATTCAATTCAATAAAATCATGAGGGGCATGGATACGGTGAATAGCCAAGGTTTTTTTTCTTAGGGGAGTCCAAAAATAGAGAGCCTAGGTTTAAGGTGAGAGGGGAAAGATTTAAAAGGGACTTGAGGGGCAACCTTTTCATGCAGAGGGTGGTATGTTTATGGAATGAGCTGCCAAAGGGGTGTGTGAGGCAGGTACAATTACAAAATTTAAAAGGCATCTGGATGGGTACATGAAAAGGAAGGGTTTAGAGGGATATGGGCCAAATGGTGCAAATGGGACTAGATCAGTTTAGGATGTCTGGTTGGTGTGGATGAATTGGACCGAAGGGTCTGTTTCCGTGCTATGTATCTCTATAAGTTCATGACTGCAGAGTTCGCTTCTCCAATTTGAAGGGAAAGAAAATGATCTAAGCCCCCATGCTGAAGAATGTGCATTGTGCTGTGTATCGCAGTGTGGGAGAGTTTGTGAATGTTGGCTGGTTTATCCCATTCCAAGTAATACAAATTTGGAAGACTTGAATTTCTGTAGTACCTTTCATGATCTCAGACTGAACCAAAGCATTTCACACCCAATGAAGTGTTTTTGAAGTGTAATGTTACAATAGCAGCAAATATGATCCATTGAATTTTAACTTCCATCGACTGATTCTTATATCTGAGACTTTTCAAACACTAAATTGTTTTTTTTCACAAAGAAGAAATATGGACCTAAAATGTCTACAGTGGTCATTTGACCACAGATTGATGCAAGGTTCCTGACACTCTGGTGGAATAAGCAAAACTGTCCATGCTGAGAAAATCATTTTATCTAAAAGACTTCAAAACCAGGCAATTGAATCAGCAGCAAGAAATGTGCATCTCTTGTTTAATTCACGTTTATGGTAATTTTACATGTTGGAAGTTAGTCAGCCTGGAAAGACAATGCAATCAGATCTAGAAATACACACGGAATCACATTTCAACAGCTGCTTTGAGCAGCAGAGCAGAGAGAAGAGCAAATCAAATTTGTGATAACAACCATGGGGACTCTCATTTCAGAAAATAATGACTGGTAAAAAGCAAATTTAGGGAGAAGGGGTGTGTAATGATTGGAATGAGGGTCAGGTGGATCTCATTGAGTTTGAGATCCGTGACTGGGGCTGTTAACCTGAGCTATTCGGGGAGCCCTGGCTGACAGATATAAACATGACTGACAAGGCTGCTGGTCACTCTAGGTACTGGCTCTGAACTCGGTGGTCAGAGTCCATTAATGTGCACATGTAAATAAGGTGGGACTTGGTGATGATATACTCTCCTCTGTGGAATTATTTCATGGGGTCAACTATCCACCAAGAACTTGAGGATAACTGCAGATTCTGCTACTTCTGAGGTTACGGGTCCATCATTATGCTGTGGTATTAAGAAAATAATACCACAAGGACTCTAAGGGCCATTTAACTTTCTAACCTTTATTTTCCATGTCTGGTACAGACACTCTCCCTTTTAAATATATTCCTTGTGTTTGTAACAAACAAAAACAGAAATTATTGGAGAAAATGAGCATCTGTGCAGAGAAAACAGTTAACATTTTGAGTCCAGTAACCTTTTCAGAACTTCAGAACCAATTATTTATTCATAAAAATTCTAAAGTTGTAAAGAGTTCTGAAGAAGGTTCATGGGATTGAAACATTAACTCTGCTTTCTTTCCACAAAATCTGCCAGACCTGCTGAGTTTCTCCAGCAATTTCTGTTTTTGTAATTTAGATTTTTGTAATTTATATACCTTTATACAATGCTATATTTTAGATTCTCCCCCTAAAATAAAAATATTTTATTCACTATAAGAAGTAAAATCAATTGTTTAAATCACGGAATGTGTGATACAGTTGGAGATTTTTTGTACAGCAAGTAACACTGAGGTCGACCTGCACTAAATTTGTTGCTTTGAACAAATGTCCCATTTCCATGTGTGCTCTGCCTGAGAGGCAGCTCTTTGCTAGAGCTTTCAGTACTTTCCAACTCGAAATGTTTTGACCTTGGGTGGTTTATCTAGTGTTGAACGTATGTTGTAGCTATTGAGACAATTGCCATTGCATTGAGTGGACAATGCAGTGTCGAGACAATCTGAACCTTGTTGCAAATACTGTAATATTCAGTTTTAATTGTTCTGCAATGTACTTTTATAACTTTTATGAATAAAGCACATTTTTTTGGAGCAAGAAAATAGCTGGTGCTTCATCCTGAGCTGTTTTATTGGCTGTTTTTGTTTGCGTCGGTGATAGTTTGTTGACAATATCTCCCACTCCATGACAGCACCCAAACATGCCTTTATATTCAGAGATAGTAGGAACTGCAGATGCTGGAGAATCTGAGATAACAAGGTGCAGAGCTGGATGAACACAGCAGGCCAAGCAGCATCATAGGAGCCGGAAGGCTGGCGTTTCGGGCCTAGACCCTTCTTCAGAAAAGCGTCTAGGCCCGAAACGTCAGCCTTCCTCTGATGCTGCTTGGGCTGCTGTGTTCATCCAGCTCTGCACCTTGTTATCTCATGCCTTTATATTGTTTACAGAGCCTGCAACAACCAGCCTGCTTTCATCCCACCCTATCAGCATAACCCTGTCTTCCTTTTTCTCTTCCTGCTGTGTGAAGCTAACCTCCCATTTAAATGCATATCCAGAGCTTGAACAACTCCACGTGGTAGCAAGTTCTACATTCTCATCACTGTCTCTGTCCCTCCCTGGGGGTGTTTATTACTTTTCAAAGTACCGGATTTGGATTCTGTTTGGGAGCTGTTGCGAATGGAATGTGAAACAATGTAACTGGTTTGAAAAGAAATGCATGTATCGGACGGAGAAGGTGCAGAACACCCTGGACAGACACAAGGTACTCGGGCTATTTTCAAACTGTAGGGAATTGGGGTTTAAAGCCAGAGGGATTCCGAGTAAGTAAAATTCTGTTTAAAAATAAAGAATAAATATGAGTAATTAATAATAAATCGGTTCTGGAGGTTTGAACATCTTGGAATTGGACAGATGGAGGCATTTTGAAGACATTGAAAGGTTCAGGATAAGACAGGATAATAGGTTGTATGTAGGAGGAAGGGGAAGGTGTTTAGAAAGTTATGAAACTTTTTAACAGTGTGACTGCCTTTCTCTATCCTCCTGAGTCATACGGATCCAAACAAGCTGTGGTACTTGGCTGATGAGATTTTAATCTTCGGTGTCTGAGCACTGTCGGTATTGTACACATTGATGAGGGTTTGAACGTGGATTAAAAACAAGACAGACAATCTGGCCACTATCGCAGATACAGAGAATGAATCTGAGACCGTCAGAGGAAAACCTCCTGTCTGTGGCTGACCTTACTGACCATCAGAGGAAAGTGCCCAATTTACTGCGCTTTTTATTTAGTGTGTAAAGTGACTTTTATGTGCGAAAGGTGGCGTGAACCCCGGGTCTGAGAAAAAGATAGCTGAAAATGCACAGTGACCGTCTGTTGAGAAAGAGAGAGAGAGTTCACCTGCAGCAGGTTTTTCATCAGTATTGGAGCTGGGGCAACTTTTAAACAGAGAGGCATATAAATGCTGTGGGGGAAGAAGGAACAAATAAAGTTTGTGCGGAAAGCAGGATTTTTGAATGACAAAAGTGATGGTGGTGTAAAGACAAGTCAGATTTCCAGCATCAACAGTATTTTGCATTTCTATTAGTTTCTTTAAAGTACGTATTCAGGGACAAATTGCTGGTTTGCAGTTATGTGTGTGGGGGGGAAATGTTTAAACAAAGTGCCTTTGAATGCATAGACAGACCAGAATATGTTTTTTTAAAGCTGAGATACCTGTGGGGTAGTTGCTATGATTTAAGCACATAGTGGTGAGCACAGTTTGTTTTTAATTCAAAAATATACTTTATTCATAAAAAGATCTTTATTTATACATGGTTACAAATGCAGTTCGGTTCTGTGCCATAGCATATGAAGAAAACAATCAAACATTGGTGTTTGACTCTATCCAACAAACAAACCAAAGGTATCTCTTACTTGTACAGCACTATATTTACATATATTTGAGGCATCGGGGGGTTCGATAACTGAACGGACCCTATTTACCTTTAACAGGAAGTCCTCAGACCGTGGTCTTTCCCCATTGTGATTTGGTGGTAGCTGTCCCAAGCTTTAGTGCATCCCTCAGCACATAGTCCAGGACCTTGGAATGTGCCAGTCTACAACACTCGTTGTTCTGGAAGATGAACAAGTTTCAGGCAGATCAAAGAATGTCTTTCACCAAGTTGATGGTCCTGCAGGGATAGTTGAAGAGTTAATTAATTGAGTTAAAGCTAACATTGGAATGGGAAACAAGTGCAATGGTTTGGGATGGCCTGGCACTAGGATCAACACACCGTTAGGCTGGAGGTTGTAGGATACGGAGCTGGAATTATTACATTCAGGAATGGAGGGATCTTGGCTAAAACGTTCAGTGTAATCATTGAGCATGAAAACAAACTGGGAGAGTAATTTCCAAAACATGCTGTCTGCTGCATGTTAAGTGAGAATGTTCGCTAACTGCCTTCTGACCTGACAGTGGTGCAGTTTTAAATTTCACATCCCTGTTTTTAAATCCCTGCATATCTCTGTGGCCTGTTTTGGTCCTACACCCTCTAAGATCTCCATACACCTCTCATTCCGGCTTAATGCAGATCGTAGCATATTGGGGTAAAAGCAAAAATTTCTGCGGGTGTTGGAAATTTGCAACAAACAGAATGCTGGAGAAACTCAGCAGGTCTGGCAGCATCTGTGGAGAGAGAAACACAGTTAACGTTTGAGTCCCATGTGACACTTCTTCATGTGATCTGCTGAGTTTCTCCAGCATTCTCTGAGTTCATTTCACGTTGGGGCGATACTTTCATTAGCCTAAGCCTGAGCTCTGGAATTCTCTTCCCTGAAACTTGATACCTCTCTTTCCTCTTTGAAGAGAGTCCTTAAAACCTGCCCATTTGATCAAGCTTTTTTCTACCTTCCTTAATATTTCTTCACCTGACTTGCCAAAATTTGCTTGCCCTCTGAAAAGTTGGGCCATTTCACTGTGCTAAAGGCTCAGCATTAATCCAGGTGGCTATTTTGTACAGGGGAAGGGACAATCTTACTTTGTGGTGGCACTTTTCCCCAGCAGATGACTTGAATAACAGTTGACAAAAGTTAATAAAACAGCTAAAAACGGACCATAACAGCACTGGCTTGAATATTTTATTTTGTGATTGCAACAGTGACTGCACTTTATTGCCTGACGATGTTCTGTCAAAGGTGCAACATTTGTTTATAAAAGAAAGACAAATATATATTTACAATACTAGTGATGCATAAATAGCTGAAAGTGAGATTCCGCTCAGTAGCCAGATTGTGGTTTGGAACACCCAAGTAGATGTTTTGGTCAGAATGTGCACAGGCCTGGAGACTGACAAAATAATTAAGAAAGATGTTGACAAACTGTGGATTTATACGAAGATTTAACTGTCCTTTTCATGGTGTTGGCGAGTGGAATTGTAGAGATATAGAGTGGAGGGGCCAGGAAAGATTTGAACCTTACACTTTCCAGACGGCGAAAAGCTAGAAGCAGTGAAGGTCAAAATCTGATTGGAACGTACATTATTAAAATACCATGATTAGTGACAGAAAGGAATCCGAAAGGCCAATGAACTGCTGTCCTTTAAATCTTGAAGAATAGAAGCAATTGGTTGGAAGTCATGGTGCAGGTGTACAAAGTGTTGGTTAGACCAAACTTGGAGCATAGTGATTCTGGTCACCAGAGCTTAGGAAAGATACATTAATTGGTCTCCAAGGAAGTGCAGCATAGGTTAATCAGAATGGTACTGTTAGAATTCTTGCAGATGTTTAATTATTTCTATCTTTTTATAGAGTTATACTGCATGGAAACAGACCCTTTGGTCCAACTCATCTGCACCAACCAGACATCCCAATCTGACCTAGTCCCATTTGCCAGCATTTGACCCATATTCCTCTAAACTTTTCCTATTATTTACCCATCCAGATGCCTTTTAAATGTTGTAATTATACCTGCCTCCACCACTTCCTCTGGCAGCTCATTCCATACACGGACCACTCTCTACTTGAAAACCAGGTCCCTTTTAAATCTTTCCTCTCTCACCTTCAACCTATACTCTCTAGTTTTGGACTCCCTCAATGTAGGAAAAAAGACCTTGGCTATTCAGCCTATCCATTCTTTTATCAATTTTGGTTTGGAGCTGTGAACTGAGAACTGTGAGCTGATGATGACCTTTGGACAGCAGCTTGTATTTTTAAAAAAATAGGAAGAGTACAAACAAACCATTTTGTTTGTTTGTGAGGCCAGTTCTGGATGTAAATTGCAGGTTCGTTTTTGATCAAAAGGTTCTATAGACGCTTGACACTGGCAAAGAACAGTATGTTTAAACAGATAACAGATGTTTGGTCATAAATGAGGTCAATCCTTAAGAATTGGCTCCAGCATGTCTGGGAGAGACCTTTTGCTTAAGCAGATGGCAGGTGTTGATGGTAACTGGAACCTTGTGGGGAGATGGTTAGTCTGACAGGGTGAGGCCAGAGTTTGAACTGGGCTATGGACTGTGTTTTATATGAGAAGGAGTTTGGCTGATGATGCGGCAGCATGAAGATTTGAAAGCTCTCTGCCTAACCTCCCATTATCAGCTATTGGAAGTTTCTATTTTCTGAACTAAGTTATATATATCACTGATTTTGTCTGAATGAACTGAATAGGTGGCTCTGTTTGACATCTTCAGAAAATCAGCTGAGGAACAATCATATAAGACCATAAGACATAAGAGCAGAAATTAGGCCATTCGGCGCATCGAGTCTGCTCTGCCATTCAATCATGGCTGATAAGTTCCTCAAGCCCATTCTCTTGCTTTCTCCTCATAACCCTTGATCCCCTTGATAATCAAGAACCTATCTATCTCAGTCTTAAATGTACTCAATGACCTGGCCTCCACAGCGTTCTGTGGCAGTGAATTCACCATTTTCTGGCTGAAGAAGTTTCTCCTCATCTCCGTTCTAAAGGTCTTCCCTTTACTCTGTGCTCTATGCCTGTAGAACCATGCATTGTGAAAACTGCTTAAGTAATCTGGCCAATTTTGTTATTTAATTTAACCTTAATTGTGTTTGTCTTTCTATTTGTCTTTTGTGTGATTGGAGCTGAAAACAAAGGTTTTTGGGTAAATCATAGTTATCAATTAAATTACTTTGCTTAATTTTGCTCTGCTCAAATTGCTGCATTGTTAATAAATCACTAACTCTTTTGTTTCAGCTATAAATTGCTGTCTACCATTGATTGTACACTGAGTATGGGATTAGTTATTCAAAAAACCTGGTTAGGAACCATTAGGGTTAATTTTGAGTTTCTGTGAAGGTTTTAACTTTACAGTGCTGTGAATAAAGAGATGGAAGGGCTGATTTGGTTTGACTGTTTCTGTACTGTAACAGTATCTCTCCTCCAAGGTTAAATTACAAGATGAGTAATTAAATTAGGGTTGTTTTCCCTGGATTTGGAAGGTTAACGGGTGTTTTGATTGAGGTTTACAAGTTATCGAGGGGAACAGATAGGGTAGATAGAATCTATTTCAGTAGGTTGGTGAGTCTTGAACTAGGGGTTATAGTCTAAAAATTAGGTCCATCAAGAGTGAAATTAGGAGAAGCTTCTGGGCACAAGGGGCCCTGGAATTTTTGACTGTCAACAATAAAGTGTTGGATTAATTGTAAATTATAGAAGTGAAATTGATGGATTTTTGTTAACCAAAGTTAATAAAGGATCTGGAGCAAAGGTGGGTGGCTTGGCCAATTTGTGGCACAAGCAGCTACCTAACAGTAAAACATTGTGT